TTGTTTTTGAGACAGGGTCTCACTGTGTAGTTGAGACTGACCTGGAACTCACTATGTAGCCTAGGCTGGTCTCGAACTCACAGCGATCCTCCTGCCTCAGCCTCCTGAGTGCTGGGATTACAGGTGTGAGCCACCACGCCCAGCCCCTTAGCACTTGGGAGACTGAGGTGGGGGGAATCATGAGTTCAAGACCAACCTGAGCAATTTAGCAAGGTCTTGTCTCAAAAATATTGTTAGGGGCTGAGGATTTAGCTCAGTGGTTCTGCTGCCTGCCTTGAAGGACAAGGACCTGAGTTCGATCCCCTGTACCCCCCCCCAAAAAAAAGTCTTATCTATATTGTTAGGCTTTTTTTTTCCCCTGATACTGGGGATCAGTCTCAGGTCCTTGTGCTTGCTAGGCAGGTGCCAGAACCACTGAGCTAAACCCCTGGCTCAAAAATAAATAAGTGAATAAAAAAATAAACTTTGGCATCTCCTTAATTTCATCTTCTCAATAGCACTTAAGATTCAAAGGAAAGGTGATAATAACATTTTTCATGGGGCTGGGGATTTAGCTTAGTGGTTCTGCCATCTCCCTTGCAAGTGAAAGGACCTGAGTTCAATCCCCAGGACCAACAAAACATTTTACACATGGAGAAATCAAAGCAGAGTACTTTGGTAACTTGTTTTGGATCTGAGTAAGTCACTACTAACATGAAACTCAAGTATCTTGTGTCTTTTAAGTTTCATGTGCTTTCTGACACATGTTATATGTAAGCGTGGTGCCTTGAATTTATTGTCATTGGGTCTCTGAAAGTCAGAGTTCCCTAAACATGCCAGGGACATTTTGCATTATCCTAAGGTTTTGAAGGCATACCAGCTGGGGACATTGGACGTATCTGGAGAACAGTCCCAGAAAAAAAAAAAAAAGAAAAGAAAGCAATGGGCGTCTGCCTTCCCTCAGCCAGTATTATCCACGTGGTATAACCTGCCATTCGTGTCCCCTATGCAGCAGTGTTTCTTCTGTGGGCCGCCCAGCAGTAAATTAGGTTACTGTAGGCAATGCTTGGACAGGGCATTAAATTAAAACCACCTAAATTTTCACTCCCCCCCTCCCCAGTTCATATTGTCCAGAGGACAAAAAACTCAGTTTGTTGTTCATACTGTGTATCTTTAACATTTTTCTAATGTTATCACCCCTTTTAGCTAAGAGAACTAATCTCAGCAAGCTGAGCTAAACAGCTTTACTAAACCTTTGTTAATAAAGGCATACTATTTTTTACTTTGAAGTACTAATATATTCCTTTCAAAATATATTTGTTTAAAGTATGTTTTATTAAAAGAAAAAAAACAGTAGCCCAGATGATAGTGAAAGATGGCAGAGCTGGCAGAGGAGCTAAGGAATGGCAGAGGTAAAGAAGGTCCTGAGGTAGAAGTCTCTTGGGCCAGGCCCAGCAAGGCAGATGACACTGACTCCTGGTGCGTGGAGGCTCAAGGAAGTCTGTCGTGAGTGATGGGTTTTTGTACACGGTAGGTAGTTGCAAGAACAGGACTGAAATGGATTGTGTTGTGGATCTGAGCAGTCACAAGGGCTGTGGGTGTAATTCTTGGGTTTTTCCCTTCTTCTAGAAATGGGCCTGAATTTGAAGCTAGGATACGACAGAATGAGATCAACAACCCTAAATTCAACTTCTTGAACCCCAATGACCCTTACCATGCCTACTACCGCCACAAGGTCAGCGAGTTCAAGGAGGGGAAGGCTCAGGAGCCCTCGGCCGCCATCCCCAAGGTCATGCAGCAGCAGCAGCAAGCCACCCAGCAGCAGCTGCCTCAGAAGGTTTGGCACCCAACACCTATCCCTAGGCCACAACAGGGAGGGGGGCTATAGTTCATTTTGTGGCCTGCACCTCACAACCACCAAGGGAGAGAAGTGAGGCTGTTCTCCCCTCTTACAGAGGCAGACAAGAGGTACTGATGACATTTGGCATTTCCTAAGAATTGCTTGTCAAGCTCTGTGCTCTTGTTTTTTTTGTTTTGTTTTTGCACCGCTGGGGAATTGAACCCAGGACCTCATATGTACTAAGCAAACTTTCTGCCTCAGAGCTACAGCCCCAGCCTGCTCTGTTACTTCTTGAGTTCTGGAGTCTGCATGGGGAAGCCGGCAGAAGGACCATTCAATAAAAATGACAAATGTGAAGTAGAAGTATGATTTACCAGGTCCTTGACCATAGCATGAGGGCAGTGCCATGACGTTCGAAAGATCTCCTGCCTGGCTAAGATGAAGGAGGGGCTCTGGCTGGGCCCCTCTTTGACCAGCCCTTCCCTTCTTACCTGGTCCGCCTTAGTGCTACCCTACCTTTACTAGGCTCGGGGTGTGAATGAAGACAGGAATGACTGACACGTTTTCCCCCGGTAGACCTGGTCTGTCCTTTCATTTTGCTGTCTTTCCAAGTGTGAAGGAAGAGATAACTGCTTATCTTAAGAGTAGGAAGTACAGGTGGAGGTCTTGTAAGACCTTCTGTTGCAGCTTAATATTCCCAGGGCCTCAGGGTACCTCATGTGCTCATCAGTGAAAAGCATTTATAATACCTGTCTTGTCTACCTCAAGTTTCAGGTGGAGGTCCTGGATGTGCTTTGTACAGTGTGAGTCTCTGCACACATGTAGGCCCTATTGAATCTTTGATCTCCTTTGGTAGAGTTTAATAGGCTGAGTTTCTGTCTCTGCCGTGCACTTTTGGCCCTTGATTTCAGGGCAGAAGTAGAGACACAGATGGGCACAGGTTTCACCCAGAGCCGTTCATACGATTGAAGCCACAGTTGGCCAAGAAGCTGATGCTTTTATGATTTTGGATTCCGTGGCACTGAGTGCCGGTGGTGTTACACAGTTACTAGAGCGTAGAGGCCCATGGTCATTCTGCAGGGAGGTGTTGCCCTCTCTCAGCAGCTGGTCCACTTCCATGCCGCTTGCCTCACACTGCTTCTGCATCTCTTAGGTCCAAGCGCAGGTAATCCAAGAGTCCATCGTGCCCAAAGAGCCCCCTCCTGAGTTTGAGTTCATCGCCGACCCTCCTTCCATCTCAGCCTTTGACCTGGATGTAGTGAAGCTGACAGCTCAGTTTGTGGCCAGGAATGGGCGCCAGTTTCTCACCCAGCTGATGCAGAAAGAGCAACGCAACTACCAGTTTGACTTTCTCCGCCCACAGCACAGCCTCTTCAACTATTTTACGAAGCTAGTGGAGCAGTATACTAAGGTGCTGGGCAGAGCTGGGGCGGGGGCTGGGGGCGGGGCCTAAGAGGGATGTGTTATCGCTGCTGTGACTACTCTGTCCTGTCACTGTCTCTGAGGATGCAGTTCTCTGGCCCCTGGGCAAGTGTTGCAATTTAATGTAAAATCTTAATTTCTAGTTATTTCTTTAAAAACAACACAGACGTCTTGTTCTAAAGAGAAATGAAACATATTCAAACTGCCCTTAGTCATTTACCTGCCACGTGATAAGGCCAGGTGATGCCAGCTGCTTCTAGATACATAGACATTTTTACTTGCCTAATACAGGGCTTAAAATGAAGCAGGCCCTTGTTAATTGTCTGTTGTCTAGTTTAATCCTTACAGAGACCGATGAGGTATTTGCTCCTTCTTAGCAGTCACTATTATGCTCATTTTACAGACAGTTAAGGCACAGAAAAGTTAACCTGGCCAGGGTCACACAGGAAGTACAGAACTGGCACTTTCATTGCAGACCCTGTGATCGTAATTACCTGGCTATACTGCAGCAGCCAAGAACCTGTATAATTAATTTATTAAGGACATGGACAGATTTGGTGGTTGCATCTATGTTCTTCTTTTTTGTATCGGGGATTGAATTTGGGACTTCTGCTTGCAAGGCAGGTGCCAGCACCACTGAGTGAAATCCCTGGCCCTCTATGTTCTTGATCTAGATAAAATATCATGAATATTTAAGGGACCCAAGGATTTCTTTTGATTTCTCACTGTAAGTACATGTATATAATTAGAACGAATTGTAAAAATGTGTGTATTTAAAAAAGGAACAGGGCCAGGGATTTAGCTCAGTGGTTTCGCTGCCTGCCTCGCAAGCGCAAGGGCCCGAGTTCGATCCCCAGTACCAAAAAGAACAAATCCAAAAGCTAGCAGAGCAGCTAGAATAGCAGTCATTGAAGACCAAAGGGTTTCTGTAAGTATTCAGTATCAATTTTAAAAGAAATTTAGGTTAATTTCCCCCTCTGGACAGCCTCCATGGTGAAAGGTCCTTAGAACTAACTCTCTTCTGTCACTTTCCTGTTTGTTTCGTCTTAGAACTTGGGTGTTGGCATTTACTTGAATGCACTGGTGACTCTAGCCACGGAAGACTCTTTGAGCAGATAGATTCTAGGCGTAGAGGTACAAGGAGGGTCAGGATGAGACTGAGCCTCTCTGTCAGTGACAGGTGTGCTTGGGACAGTAGGAATGGCTGGCTTTTTAGAACAAAGGCAGCATTCCTTTTCTTAGAAACTATATTGTCAGACATCATTCAGAGTGCTGGAGATGTAGTAGTGAACAGAAGGAGAGAGAGAAGTGCCTATCTTGTGGAGTTGCTAGCCTGACAGAGGAGACAAGCAGATGCAATGTTAGTGGATGTCTGATGGTGATAAATACCACGGAGGAAAAGCAGAAGATTGCAAATACGGGGAATGGGACCGAGAGACTGCAGTCCTGGCCGGGCGTGGTGGCGCACCCCTGTAATCCCAGCACTTGGGAGGCCGAGGCAGGAGGATTGCTGTGAGTTCAAGACCAGCCTGGGCTACATAGTGATTCCAGGTCAGTCTCAACTATACAGTGAGACCCTGTCTCAAAAAAAAAAAAAAAACAACCAAAAAACAAATCAGAGAGACTGGAGTCCTAAATAGGATAGTGAGGGGAGGCTTTTTTTAAAGTAAAACATTTATTGGTACATTTTAGATATACGTAATGATAACATTCATCACAGGGAATTTGTACCTGTACAAATTTTTCCCATTCCCCTCAAGGGGAGGCATTTTTAACAGGGTAGAAGCAGATCAGTATCATGAAAGCCTCAAATGTTGACTATGTTCTGGGTAACCTGCTCATTGCCTTCGGTCAGTGTTTTGCATAATTTCATACTTTCTTGCTGATCCTTTTTTCCTTAACCAAAGTATTAGAACCAAGTGAAGCTGGAATTTGGGCCCAGAATCCCATCCCATTTCCTGTGCCATCTCTCAGGCCCACTAAGGTCATCTCTGGTACACTGACAGTTGCTTTAACTCTTCTGTTTCAGATCTTGATTCCACCCAAAGGCTTATTTGCAAAGCTCAAGAAAGAAGCTGAAAACCCTCGAGAAGTTTTGGATCAGGTAAACAGAATAGAATTTCTTTGAACCAGTTACTAATAGTACAGGTTCTATCATGTGGAGTTTGCATTGTCTTTGGAGACAGTCCCTTAGGCAGTACAGTTTAAGTATCCCTAATCTGAAAATTCAGAATGCTTCACAATCCAAGAGTTTTTTGACATGTGTTGTCAACGTGATCTCAACAAATGGAAATCCGTACCAGACCTCCTTGTGATGGGTCGAAGTCAAAACAGATGCAGGTAATGCACAGCTGTAATCCTAGCCCTGAGGAGGCTGAGGCATGAGAATTGCCACAAGTTCGAGACCAGTCTGAACCACATAGACTTTCCAAAAATCAAAATATAAATTCAAGCTAGTGGTGCATTCATATTATCTCAGCACTCTGGAAAACTGAGGCGAGAGGATCACAAATTTGAGCCCAGCCTGTTTCAAAAGTAAAAGGGGTGAGAGGGCTGGGGATTTAGCTCAGTGGTTCTGCCACCTGCCTCGCAAGCACAAGGTCCTGATTTCAATCCCCAATACCAAAAAAAGACGGGGTGGGGTGGGGCTGACATGTAGCTTATTGAGAACATTCTGGGTTCAATTCTTAGTACTGGGGAAAAAAAGTACACTAAAAATATTGTATAAAGTTACCTTTAGAGCGGGCATGGTGGTGTATGCCTGTAATACCAGCACTCAGAGGCTGAGGCAGGAGGATCACTGTGAGTTCAAGACCAGCCTGGGCTACATAGTGAGTTCCAGGTTAGTCTCAACTACACAGTGAGACCCTGTCTCAAAAAAGAAAAGAAAAGAAAACAAAACAAAACAAAAGTTACCTTCAGGCTATGTAAGGTGTATATGAAATGTGAGTAGAGCTGGGGATGTAGCTCAGTGGCGCCGCACTTGCCTTGTCAGCTTGAAGTCCTGAGTTCAATCCCCAGTACCATTGAAACAAAACAACAGAAATGTGAGTAGATTCTGCATTTAGATGGGGTCCCATCTGAAGATATCTCAACGCATATGTGTGTGCAAATATGTGTGCTCAAGTTGGAAACATTTCAGATAAGGGATATTCAGCCTATACCTTGATATGATGTAGACGTAGGAGTGATAAGAGCTGTTAGCTACAAAGGGCAAAGATCGTCTCTGGGTTCCGTGTTTCCCAGCTTCGCTCTCAGCATCACTGGATCACCTCTGCATCCAGAAAGCCGTATCCTGAGCAGGCATATCGGTGCTGGCTGCAGGAAGTCTTCTGATTCTTAGCTCGGTTGTCTCCCATCCATACAGGTGTGTTACCGAGTGGAGTGGGCCAAGTTCCAAGAGCGTGAGCGGAAGAAAGAGGAGGAGGAAAAGGAGAAGGAGCGGGTGGCCTATGCTCAGATTGACTGGCACGATTTTGTGGTGGTGGAGACCGTGGACTTCCAGCCTAATGAGCAAGGTAACTCAGAGGAAAGTGCCTCAGGTGGGAGCCAGGAACCCTGAGCCGTCCCAGGAGCCCTCATGTACGTCTTCCCTGGAGCAGAATCTCAGAAGGCTTCATTAGTATCTGTTGCCTCTATGCTTCCAGGAAATTTCACTTCTGTCACTTTGCCCAAATTAAATGACACTGAACAACTGCTTTTCCAGATGGGCCTCTGCAGATAGGAAAATCAGAGCCCCAGCCTTTGGAGAGTTTGACAGGGCAGACAGATGGGCCTTTGATAAGGGTCTCTTTGACTTTGGTTCGTCCCTGCCAGGGAACTTCCCTCCCCCCACCACGCCGGAGGAGCTGGGTGCCCGCATCCTCATTCAGGAGCGCTATGAGAAGTTTGGGGAGAGTGAGGAGGTCGAGATGGAGGTTGAGTCTGATGAGGAGGATGACAAACAGGAGAAGTCAGAGGAAGCCCCTTCCCAGCTGGACCAAGATACCCAAGTGCAGGACATGGACGAGGTGAGCTCCTGTATGGGCTTTGGGCTGTCCTTTCCGCTGGAGCCAAGGAGGTCGGGAGCTGCTCTCCACCGAACCAGAGAGCTAGCTCCCTCATATCCTGGAGAGGAGCCTGGCCCCTCAACCAGGCTGGACTGGCTGGGGTGCTGCCTGAGCCCAGGCAGCTCATAGCCTCTTTCCAGCTCTACAGAAAAGATTCACACATATGGACATAAAAGATGTGCTGGCCCTGTTCTTTGGCCTTCCCCTGGGCTCAGTGGCCTTACTGCCACCTCCCTGTGCCAGTGCAGTTAAGGAACTGCATTACTCTATGCTTTGATGCCTTTTGAGCTCTTAGGCCCAAAGGGTCAGTAGTTCCCGAGAGCTTTTCTAAATGTAGCCTATACTTCCTTTCAGATGTCCCTACCCTCTTCCAGCCAGTCCCTCCATGTAGGTGGAGTCTGCAGAGCCAATCTGTTCTCCCTCCTCAGAAAGAATTTGTGTGCAGCCTGAGAAGAAAGGGCCCCTGTGTCTGTGGGAATTGAGTTTTTTTCTCCCTCCCAGCATTGCTCCCTGAACAGCCACCATTGAGTGCTGACTTGCCCCCTGCACCCCTCCCCTGCATGTTAAGTGCCCTTGGCCTCTTGGGACTGCCTGGTGCCAGCCGCTGGAAATGCCTGGGAGGAGTGTTGGCAGCAGGGCCTCCAGCACTCCCATTCATGCTGTGAGGAAGCAGCTTGGCCTGCTGCCGGCTGGTGTCCACTGCCCCAGAAGGCTTAGCATGTGGACACTGGCTGACAGAGGCCAAGGCTTTTGGCCACCCTGAAGTCTGCCAAGGCTCAGCTTCAGGGAGCTGGCCTCTTATGCCCTCTCCGAGTCATGCTACTGCTTTGCTTTTCAGGGTTCAGATGATGAGGAGGAAGGGCAGAAAGTGCCCCCACCCCCAGAGACACCCATGCCTCCACCTCTGCCCCCGACTCCAGACCAAGTCATTGTCCGCAAGGACTATGATCCTAAAGGTAAAGTGCTTCCCAGCCCTTGGGCTGCTCTGGAAAGTCCTGCATGTCCTCACGTTTCTCAGACTTTCCTATTTCTAAGAGTTGTAAGAGCATTGGTAAGCCATTGGTATAGGCCTTGTGGTGGGAAAGAGCAATATCCAGGGCCTGATGCCCCGTGCAAGGATGGCTCCAAATGTGTGTGTCTCCAGTGAATGATGTGGATGAAAACCATTTGCTTTTTTGGTCTTTTGAGACAGGGTCTCACTTGTGTAGTCAGGCTGGCCTGAACTCACTATTTAGCCCAGGCTGGCCTTGAGCTCATGGTGATCATCCTGCCTCAGCCTCCTCCCAAGTGCTGCGATTATAGGCGTGTACCACCATGCCCAACTTTGAAATACCATTCTTTTTTAGCCTTAGAGCCACCCACCCACTGTTCTCTCTGACATCTGTTTCCTTTTAGCTTCCAAGCCCCTGCCTCCGGCCCCAGCTCCAGATGAATATCTTGTGTCTCCCATTACGGGGGAGAAGATTCCTGCCAGCAAAATGCAGGAACACATGCGAATTGGGCTTCTGGACCCCCGCTGGCTGGAACAGCGGGATCGCTCCATCCGAGAGAAGCAGAGCGATGATGAGGTTTACGCACCAGGTGAGGTGGGGGTTCCTGGAGAGTCCACAGCAGTGTTCATGGTACAGTCAGTTTTCTTTATGCAGATACAGAAAGTAACAGTTGAGGTTGATGAAAGCTTTTGAAGGACTCTGGAAGAGTTCTGTGCGGGATGCCGGGTATAGATAACATGTCTTTGGACATCCCAGAGCAAGATCTGGTCATAGCTAGAGATCGTGTTCATTTCTTAGACTAATGGCTGGAGCACTCTGACTCCTTGAGTGAGACCCATTGGCCCTTTTACTCCTCTGTGGAAAGCAGCAGGATAGGGAGGGGACTCCCAGGGCCTGACTGCCGCGTGTGGCTCTTCTATCCCCGTCCACATGCAGTCATCATCTCTGGTCCATTATGTTTTTATAAGTAGAGGGATTGGACGAGCACTGGGTCCACAGACTTAGTGCCAGTCTGGCACCTTTCCCCGGGCTGAGAGCCAGCCTTGTGGACCCATGGGTCCAGCCTTCCCTGCATTCACAAAGCGGTGCTGCCTTATTGGAAGGGCACCAGGTTAAGCTTCCCTTTCTTTCCTTCTCTTCTGTGACTCTGTATAGGTCTGGATATTGAGAGCAGTTTGAAGCAGTTGGCTGAGCGGCGTACCGACATCTTTGGTGTGGAAGAAACAGCCATTGGTAAGAAGATTGGTGAGGAGGAGATCCAGAAGCCAGAGGAAAAGGTGTGGTTCAGGTGGATCCTAGCCCTGCCCACCGTCTCCCACACCTGGATTTAGTTCTGAGGGACTGTGCCTTTGCTTTCCCTTGCAGGTCACCTGGGATGGTCATTCAGGCAGCATGGCCCGGACCCAGCAGGCTGCCCAAGCCAACATCACCCTCCAAGAACAGATTGAGGCCATCCACAAGGCCAAAGGCTTGGTGCCAGAAGATGATACCAAAGAGAAAATCGGCCCCAGCAAGCCCAATGAAATCCCCCAGCAGCCGCCACCCCCCTCGTCAGCCACGAACATCCCCAGTTCGGCTCCACCCATTACGTCAGTGCCCCGGCCTCCTGCAGTAAGCAGACAGCCACCCTGTGACCGATTTTTTTTTTTGCTTCGCTCTTGGTGTTAGGCGCTGTTGGCCTAGAAGGGCAGCTGCCTTAGGGCAGGTCCTGAATGCTAAGTGAAAGAAAACCCTTTAAATGAAAGTGGGAACCTCTAGCTTGACAGGGAGGCAGGCAAGCGGCAAATAAGAGAAGCAGATTTGTTTTAGAGAAAGGCTATGGGGCCTAAAGCATCTCTAAGGCCTGCTGACCTCTCCAGGAAGCTGAGGTCAAGGCTAACCTTTTAGTGGCCTTGAGCACCTGGTGGAATCTGATTCACACCTCCCAACTGGCAGATGCCCCATTCCTCCCAGCAGTGTAGTTTCTGTCATATATCTGATGGGAGGCTGCAGTCTTAGCACTAGGGGGTTGAGTCAGGGCCGTTTACCCCCTACCCCCAGAGCTGAAGGTGGCCAGTTGCCAGCTGTGTGTGCCCTTGCAGTTGAGTTGGCTTCCTGAGGCCTGTGAATCTCTTTCTCCTACAGATGCCACCTCCTGTCCGTACTACAGTTGTATCTGCAGTGCCTGTCATGCCTCGCCCACCAATGGCATCTGTGGTCCGATTGCCACCGGGTTCAGTGATTGCTCCCATGCCACCCATCATTCACGCACCCAGGATCAACGTGGTGCCCATGCCTCCCTCTGCGCCTCCAATCATGGCACCCCGTCCACCCCCCATGATTGTACCTACAGGTCAGTTTGTCTTGCAACCCTTTCCAGGCCTTTGGGTCAGGAACTACAGGCCATCCATGGTCCACAGAACAGTGGCTGATGTTAGCAGCTGTCCCGGGTAGGTACCTAACCCAGGAGAGAGGCCTGGCTATGCACACGAAAGATTCCCCAGCTGGAAGCTGAGTCACAGTTCCTGGGAAAGATGGGAGGCTGAAATGGCATAGCTGGTGCCTGCACTCAACATTCAGGCCCCAGACAGGCTGAGAGGCCTGACACATGCTTGTTGTTGGCTGCTACCTGCTCTGTCCATCAGTCCAGTCCTGCTGGCTGTCAGTCACAGCAGGGAGTGACACTTTACACCTGAATGGAGCAGCCTTTGCAATCTCCCTTCTCTAAACCTCACCAATCCTGAGTCCTAGGCCCTCCCCAACTCACGGGGCTGCTGTTTTTGATGTCTTGGCAGCTTTTGTGCCTGCCCCACCTGTGGCTCCTGTCCCAGCCCCGGCTCCAATGCCTCCTGTGCACCCTCCACCTCCCATGGAGGATGAGCCTGCCTCCAAGAAACTGAAGACGGAGGACAGCCTCATGCCTGAGGAGGAGTTCCTGCGCAGGAACAAGGTTTGGTTCAGTGTGCTGCCTAGAGTTTCAGCTTCTGGGGCCTAGCTTAGCCATAGGATCCTCTTGAGGGCTTCTGAGCACGTGAAATGTGACAGCAACTGGGGAGCAGAGAGTAGTGGGTGTCCTCTGGTGTGAACTCCTTAGAGACCAGCAGGGAGACCAGTTGCACAGGTAAAATGACCCAGCTCTCAGAAGACTGTCTGTTAGGGTGGGACCTTGTTATGGTGTTAGAATAGGATCCTTGATCCTGCTGCTACCTGGGGAGGCTGTTAGGCTTCTGTGAGGAGTCAGAAACAGGCCCAGCTCCCCCTCCCCCACAGTTTTTGATCAAATCTGCGTGGTTTTGCTTCTAATGCTATTGCTATTTCCTATCACTTGAACACTTCCTCAAGTGCGGGGATAGAGATAAGTACTTTGTAGCATCTTTTCCAATATGTGCTCCCAACAGCGCTGTGTTGTACTTGTGGTCAACCCTGTTTCACAGGCGTTGGTCTTGAGGCTCAGAAACCTAGTGATCTGTGAAGCCGAGCTGGGAACCCAGAATCCGGGTCTTCTGACCTCATAGGTCAATTCTTTCCCCCTTGTACTTCCGGGAGGATGCAGAGTAGTTTTGCCTGCGTGCCTGGGCTTAGCCTCCAGAGTCACCAGAAGGCAAGGCAAAGTCCATTTAGAGAAGAGAAGTGATCTGAGTGTGGTGGCACGTGTGTGTAATCTCAGTACTTCGGTGGCTGAGGCAGGAGAATTGAGTTTGGCCAGCTTGGACTGTGTAGTGAGAGTTCATTGACAAAAAGAGAAGGAGGAAGAAAAGGAAATGAAATCTTGAAAGGGGCAAGTGATTTGTACAGTGTCACAGATGGTGTTAGTAGGAATCAGGCATGGTGATACACACCTATGATCCAGCACAGGGGAGGCCGAGGCAGTAGGGTTGCTGTGAGCTTGAGGCCAGCCTGAACTACACAGCAAGGCCCTGTCTCCAAAAAAAGTTTAAAAAAAAGATCTTAAGAGCCCAGATGAACAGGTCTCTGCAGGCCCTGGCGTAGTTCCCTCTTGGTTCTGAGTCCTCAGGGATAATGGCTACCTCCTGTTTCACAGGGTCCAGTGTCTATAAAAGTACAGGTGCCCAACATGCAGGACAAGACGGAATGGAAGCTCAATGGGCAGGTGTTGGTCTTCACCCTCCCACTTACAGACCAGGTATGGGCTGCTGTCCCTACATGCTGTCAGGTGCATGGGAGCCAAGGGGTTGGGGACAGTTTCCTCTGGGTGGCCTTAGCAAGAGTCGAATGACCTCTCTTTGGTCCCACAGGTCTCTGTCATCAAGGTAAAGATTCACGAAGCCACAGGCATGCCTGCGGGGAAACAGAAACTACAGTATGAGGTGAGTCAGGGTGTTCTCATCCCCTTGGATGCCTGGGCTCCTTGGACCCCAACACCTCTGCCATCCCGGAAGTTAAGTCTTTCAGAGCAGAATGGAGAGAGACCTGGGCATGGCCATCTGAGTCCATGCTACAAGTAGTAATGCTGGCTGGTGAGCCTGACCGTGCAGGTCCACTCTCATGTGGGGTCTGGAGAACCCTTTGCCTTGATGACTAGGGGTACAAGACTTGAGAATGTCTTGATGGGCTCCTGACCCAGCGGTGCGGCCAGCATAGCCTGAGACCTGTCAGGTCCACAGGAGTGCTGCGTTCTCTTTGGGCTTGAAGACACCAGCTCTCTGAGCTGCATTTCCTCCTCTGTAAAAGGAGGGTGTTGGGTGGGGTGAGCTCTCAGGGTCTTGTCATTTGAGATCCCAACCCCCACGGGAGTTCTTCAGGGTCATTGTCTTGGGAAATTGAGCTTTGAGCCAAATGGACCAAGGGAAAGATGATGGGTTGGTGGGAAGGAAGGAAAACATCTAGGAAGAGTCAGAGCTTTCCAGTCTACCCCAGCTTCCCTCAAGCTGCTGTATCAGCTTAATTCAAAGTGTGAACCCAGCCAAATTCAAGGTTGAGACACTGCAGTGACGTACTCAAGGCCAGATGCCCTGTACTGAGGCATGCCATCTGTTTTCCAGGGCATCTTCATCAAGGATTCCAACTCTCTGGCTTACTACAACATGGCCAATGGAGCTGTCATCCACCTGGCCCTCAAGGAGAGAGGTGGCAGAAAGAAATAGAAGAGCGATCTGCCATCGAGTCCCTGTTTATCCTCTCACGTTCTCCATGCTCTGCTCTGACCAGGAGATTACCTGAGATCTCAGGCATCGCCTTTGCATTTATTCCCCTCCTACTCAGTTGTCCTACAGAAGTCTGCCCCACCCTCCCATACAAGGGTAAGAGTAGCAAGGCTTTCTGAGCCGGTGTCTGGAATCCCTTTGTGTTAGAGTCTTGATTTGAGGCCCTTTTCTTCCCCAGCCCTGTAGGTGCTGTGAATGCAAGAATGGCCTACAGAATGATTTTGCAGTGCCACATGGCACTTGGCTGATAGACTATGATTGTTTTGTTTTTCATCATTTTGTACTTTGCGATGGTGTGTCTAATAAACTCTTGGACCGTTTTAGTGAAAGCAGCTTAATAAGACTTATCCCTTGGCCACCTGTGCCCTATCTAGACTCAGGCAGTGGGAATGCTGTACAGGTGCCATGTAGCTCTTCTTTGCTCTGAGAAATTCTGAGGTTTGTATGTGAATTCTTCCCATCCTGCCTTTCATGTATTACTCTAACTTTTTTGGGGGGTTGTTGAGAGAGCATCTTACTATGTAGTTCAGACTGCTCTGGAACTCACTGTGTAGCCCAGGCTTGTCTCAAACTCACAGCGATCCTCTTGCCTCAGCCTCCCGAGTGCTGGGATTACAGGCATGCGCCAACCCACGCCTGGCTGTTACTCTTCTAACTTTTAAAAAACATTATAAACTGAATGTGATAGTGCATGTCTGTAATTCCAGCACTGGGGAGACTGAGGCAGGAGGATTGCTGTGAGTTCGAAGCTAGCCTGAACTACATGAAGAATCCCTGTCTCAAAAAATACTGCATTTTTATTGCCCTTTTAAAACACTGGGACCCTTCAGACCCCTAGCCCTTTGTATAAAGGACTGACACAAGATTCCCTCAGCATGACATGTATCACAGAACAATAAGGGTAGCATCTCGGTCCCCAGGTTGGTGAGCAGCAGAGATAACATGTAGGTGAGGCTCTGGGCGGCAGTGTGCTACAGGCCTAGTTTGGCTTAGTCCCCTTTGTATACACCTCACCCGAGGGGAGCACAGGGACATCGTGGCATTTCTTTGAAATGTACGTATTTAACAATTGTATTAAGGCCATAATACTGTTCGAAGGACTTCATAAAGTCTAATCCTTACTGTTTGAAGTACTTTGTCATTTTAACTTACCTAATACTTGTGAGTATTCCTATTTAATACTAAAGTAACCTGAAATAGAGCAGGTGAAGCAGATGCCCATAGTCACAGTACCAAGATGAATGTGTGTAAAAATACTTGTCACCATCCTGGCCCCCGGCTTGAGGACTAGAGGCAGCTGTTATTTTTGGAATCACGTTATCACAGTGGGGTAGGTGCTTCTGTGGGTGTTCAGAGGCAGGAAGGTGAGAGCTGGTTAATAACCATTTCCTGGTTTTCAACCTAAAGCCAGTTTCATTCTGAAGAGTACATGTGTTTGAAGAGTTCTAATGCTTTGTTTTCAGTCCCTCTGTTTGATCTTCCTGCATGCCCCATCAAGTCTCCAGGGCTCAGAGCTGTGAGACTGTTTCCACAGAACTGGGGTTCTAGCCACTGCACTGCCCCCTGAGCCAGGCTTAAAGCTTCTGACCCCAAACCTGAAGGCCAGGCAACACCTCTGAGTGCCAGTCATGTGGCTCCATCGCAGTCCGCTGGACCCTCACATTTTTAGCTTGCTTGGTGTGATGTCATTGCTTACCCGCTGTGACATTGCTTCTGACCTGGTTGCTGGAAGTTTGTCCCAAGGGCTGGTGTCAGCATTTAGCTTCCTGAAGTGGATTTCATGGCTGGGGTGCCTCTCGGGAGCCCCTGTTAGTTCCTTCTCCGTGGGCAACACAAAATCCCCTGAGCACAGCCTGGGTCTCATTCCAAGAGGAAAGGGATCAGAGATGAGGGAGGCCGCGCAGGCTCTCTGGGTGTGGGGCTACAGCAGGGTGTCAGGACACACGCCTCCGCAGACTGGCAGACCCCGCGGGGCCTCCAGGACAGGCTGTGACAGGAGGTCAGGAGTGCTGAGGGGCGGGATGGGAGTGAATGGGTCCTTTGAGCTGGACGCGGAGCAGACTGATTTTCCAGGAGCTCCTGAATGAAAATCTGTCCCGGTTCACTCAGTCACAGGAGACCCATTGATGACAAGACCTTGTGAATATTAGTGGCCACGGATCCAGCATGTAGCCTGACACTGCTCTTTCTGTTTGGGCCTGCAGCCTGTAGGTAGAGCCTTACTGGTTTTTGTTTTGTACTGTTTTTGCTGTACCAGGGGTTGACTCTGGGCCTTCACACTGAGCTATATCCCCAGGCTTTATTTTTTATTTTGAGGTAGGTTCTTACTAAATTACGAACTTGTAATCCTCCCGCCTCAGCTTCCCAGAGTGCTAGGATCATAGGCATAGGCCACCACACCCGGCTAAGGGCCTTGCTGTTAACAAAGTTGCTTACACAGCTGTTCTGATTCTCAGTGTAATCTCTGGAGAACTAGTCACCCCATTAATTTTTCCAGTGAGCTGGTCACATAGCCAGCGAGGGTTTAGGAAAGCTGAAACAGCTCATCTATTCCTGGTGACCACCCTGTCCGCGTGCTTTACCAGACCAGAGTGAAGCAGGAAAAAATAATCCTCTTATGGGGCCACTAGGAAAACCAGAAGGCAGGACTGCACTTCCACAGGCGCTGTGTGTGTGTGTGTGTGTGTGTGTGTGTGTGTGTGTGTTTTAATGATTTCTTACTATGTTGTGCAGGTTGGCCTTGAACTTCTGGGCTCCATTGATCCTGCTGCTTCAGCTCCCTGAGTTCCTGGGACTGCTATAATTTTAAAGAATTATACTCAGAGGGGTTCCATGAGTTGTAGAGATTAAGGAATTTCACTTTCATTTCTACCTGCTGTTTGAAATGAGTGCTTGTCATAGAGCCCAAAGAGGCCACTCATGATCAGCACCGTTTCAGGTCACAATTAATGGATTAGAGGATATATACAGTAGCTTGTATTAAGCTATGTTAGGATATATACATGAATGGAATTTGTTTCTATAAAGAATCAGGCAAGTGTAAGAGCTTATATTTAAGGGTAAACAAAGATATATATACAAATATATAGGGTGGCTCATTCCTGTTATCCCGTACAAGGGAGGCTGAGACAGGAGGATCACCTGGGCTGTATAGTTCAAGACCAGCCTGAAATACACAGCAAGACCCTGTCTCAAAAAATAACAACAAAGTAAACTTTTTTGCTTTTTCTGGGCCAAGGTCTTACCATGCAGTTCAGGCTGGCCTTGAACTCACTGTGTAGCTCAGGCTGGCCTCAGAGTCCTTGTGGCAGCTCTGCCTCAGCCTCCCCAGTGCTAGGATTGTAGGTGTGCACTATCAAGCCCTGCTATTGAAATATTTTTAAAACAACAGGCTACATCATTTGGGGAAGTATTGGAGCTTCTTCCTACTTCTCATCTCTGTTCTGTTTTGCTCTTTGTGTGTGTGCGTGTGAGCGCACATGTGTGTATAGTGTTTCTCAGAGAAAGCATGAGATACTTGAGTTGGTGTGTCTGATTTATTGCACTTAACATGTTCTTTTTTGGGGGGAGGTACTGGGGATCGAACTCGGGACTTTGCGCTTAACTAGGAAGGTGGTGGAACCACTGAGCTAAATCCCCGGCCCTTTAACATGTTCTTAAGTTGCATCCATTTACCTACTGGTGCCTCAAGTTATCTTTCTTTATGGCAGCATAATATTCCATTGTGTGTAAATACCACATTATCCCTATCCATTCATCAATTGATGGACATATATTCTGTTTCCAGGATTTAGCTATTATAAATTGTGCTGCTATACATATGGGTATATATGTATCTGTGTAATATGATTAACTTTTAGGGAGATACCTAAGAGGGATAGCTGGGTCAAGTGGAATTTCTCTTTTTAGTTTTTTTTTTTGAGAAATCTTCACACTGTTTTCCATAGTGATGTACTAGTTTACATTCCCACCAACAAGTAGAATTCCTCTTTCCCCACATCCTCACTGGCATTTGTTATTATTAGATATTTTGATGATAACCATTCTGGTGTAAGATGGTATCTCAACTATTGAAGTTTACTTGTTAAAAACAAAAATAAAATGCAAGACCTCAACCAGGCATGGTAGTGCACACCTATAGTCCCAGAACTCAGGAGGGTGAGGCAAGAGGATTGCTGAGAGTTCAAGGCTAACCTAGACTACATAGTAAGGCCCTGTCTCAAAAAAAGACTTTGGGCTGGGCGTGGTGGTGCACACCTGTAATCCCAGCACTCGGGAGGCTGAGGCAGGAGGATTGCTGTGAGTTCGAGACCAGCCTGGGCTACATAGTGACTTCCAGGTCAGTCTCAACTACATAGTGAGACTCTGTCTCAAAAAACAAAACAAAAAAAGACTTTGGAGCCTGGTGTGGTGGCGAATGCCTGTAATCCCAGCACTTGGGAGGCTGAGGCAGGAGGATTGCTGCAGTTCAAGATCATCCTGGGCTACATAGTGAGTTCCAGGTTAGTCTCAACTATATAGTGAGACCCTGTCTCAAAAAACACCTTTGGAGTTATGATCATTAACTCCTGACTTTGAGGATTTGCTCTTAACTATTCTGCATCTTTTGTATTTTAAAAAGAGCAGGTAGGAGGACCAGGGATTTAGCTCATTGGTGCCATGCCTTCCTGACAAACACAAGATCATGAGTTTGATCCCTGGTACCAAAAAAAAAAAAAAAAGCAGGTAAACAGCTCCACATACTCCTGGGCCCCACAAATCATGAAATAGGACAAGATAAACTGTTCCTTAACATATTACAGAGGTCCTACTTTTGCCTTAAACCGAGTTCGGTTAAGCCAGCAGTGTTCCTTAGCCTTAAGCTGAGGTGATTAGATCAGGGATAGGTATGTGAGCCAGTGTATGACCCAGTATGAAAGGTTGAACAGGAGCTACCAGCAGACTTGCAGCACCTGTAAGGAGATCAGAGAGACAAGAAGGAAAAAGAAAAATGATGCCATATTGTTAGTAATGTAACCTCTGGATCACACTGCTCCTGAAGTCTACCCTACCTATAATTTTTTTAACATTTATTTTTTATTAATAAATTTTATTTTATCCAGTTCCCTCTCAGACTCCCTCCCCATGTACAAAAGCTTCGTTTCCTTTTTTTTTATTTTCACTTTTTGTCTTGTCCCTTCCTCCCTCTCCCACTCCTCCCTTGTTCCCCTTCCTTTTTTTTTGTACCGGGGATCCAGCTGCGGCCCTTGCACTCGCAAGGCAGAGGGCAGAACCACTGAGCCACACCCCCGGCCCTCCCCTTCCCATTTCCCAACATCCACTGTACAGCTCAGTCCTTATTTCCACATTCACT